TGTTTTTTTAGTTGGAGTCTTATTCTGTCATCCAGGCTGGAGGGCAGTGGCACGCTCCCGGCCACCCCAGCCTCGACCTGCCGGGCTCAGGTGATTTTTCCGCCTTGGCCTTCCACGTAGTTGGAACTACAGGCACACGCCACCATGCCCGCCTCATTTTTTGATTTATTGTAGAGACGAAGTCTCGCCAAGTTGCCCGGGCTGGTCTCGAACCCGTGGGCTCAGGCAATCCTCGCACCTGGGCCTCTCAAAGTGGTGGGATTATAGGCATGAGCCATCGCGCCCGGCCAGGCCCCTTTAAAGAGATAGAAAGCTGAGCTCAGAGGGGCTCAGTAACTTGCCCAAGGCCGCACACGTAGGAAGGGGCAGTGCGGGGATTTCTGACTCCCACTCCAGTTAGACCACCCATCCTCGGAATCTGCACCATGTACCTCCACTCTGCCCTCATCCGTTTGCAGTATCTGAGAATGAACAGCAGGGAGGCAAAGGTGTCACCACGGAGCAACCTTGGGCGAGCCCTGCCCCTCTCCGGGCCTCAGTCACCACACCTTTGAAATGGGCACAGTTTTGCCTCCCGGAGTCACACAACCAGTGAGATCTTTAAAGCGCCCCGGGAAGCTGCACGCATGCGCGAGGCCGTTGGGGCGGAGCCCGGGAAGCGGGGCTTTCAAAAGTTTCCGGGCGGGTGGGGCCGGAGTTGGGGGCGTTACCGGCTGCGCGCGCGCCGGCCCCGCCCTCGGCCTCTTCTGGCACCTGTTGGCTTGAGGGCCCACTGGGCCGCAGCCGCCACCCAATGGGAAGCCTCCCTGGCCCAGCCCTGTCCCGCCCACCGCCCGGGCCCGCCAATCGCCGGGCGACCCGGCCTCCTCCCTCAGAGGGCCCGCCCCTCCGGGCGCTTCTTCCGGGTGGGGCCCCGGGCGGAGGCGATGGCGCCCTGGGCGCTGCTCAGCCCTGGGCTCCTGGTACGGACGGGGCACACCGTGCTGACCTGGGGGATCACGCTGGTGCTCTTCCTGCACGATACCGGTGAGCAGGACCCCGCGCGACCCCGGACCCACCCGCGCCCGCGTGGGTGCCAGACGTCTGGGTTCCCTCCTGGTCCCGGAATCCCGGGATTGACCCGCTCTCCGCCTGACAGCCAGCTGGTCCCTGATTCAGCCCAGCATCTGCCTGGTCACTGTCAGACGCCCTGTCCACCTCAGGACCTCTCCGGTGCCCCCCAGGCCCGAGGACCCACTCGGGCCGTTTCCCCTGATCCTGGGACCCACCAGCTGGCCCTTCCCGGGAACTGACTCCCCGCCTTCCCATCCATAAGACTAGGAGGATCAACGAGTTCGAGGACCAGCATCCGCCCCACCCCCAGCTAGCTGCCCCAACCCAGGCTCCCCACCCCAAGGCAAGAGAACACCCTAGTGGGGTGCGGCCTGTGCCCACAGGAGCACCCAGCCACCCACCCACCTCCATTCCCATCATTCCCCTCGGTAGCCCCCTACCCACCCACAGCACCCCCCCCCCCCCCCCCC